CCCTTGCATTACCCCTCCTCTAGTACACTATGTGTTTAATCTCTGTCCCCTTTCAGGTGTTCCCACCTCTCTTGATTAAGTGACCATGGCTAAGGGCATCCTGTCAGCACACAAGCCCTCCCCTTGGATCTCCAGATTTCCCCCTCACTCTCTGGTGATTCAGACACCTCTCAACTATTTAGTTGCTGCTTTGAGCTTCAGGGAATTAGACATTTGCCTTATCTCTGAGAATTCTAATCAGCTCTAGTCAGCTCCTTCATTATGTTTATATCTCTGCATTCCTAACCATCTGTCTAAAGCAGTTCATGTACAAACATGTCTTGTGAATGGTGGACCTCATTAGATACAACTTGGACTTGACATACAGTTAGGCAGAGTGTTTTAAAGCTTATTGAATCACATCAGGTGTAACTTCTGTTTACGGCAAGGAGGGGAATTCTTTCTGTGCCTGTGTGCAGCCAGTTTTCTGAGGAAAGCAGGTGGGAATTGGGGCCAAGGAGCTGTAACAGCCAGCTGTAGACGTCAGTGGAGAAGTCTGACGTAAGGAAAAGTGATGCAAGGCTCAGGGGGCTGATCAGAGAAATGAGGGGGCTGGGGAGGTGAGGAGCAAGGTTGTCCATAGAGAGCCTGGCCTCAAGGGACTGCTTTTCCTACCTGCCCATATCTGCCTAGTGACCGTCTGCATCACTATCACTTGGAGAACACTGCTATCACTTCTTCTGTAAACAAACATACAAAAATTTACAATATTACAAAAAAATACAATATTACCTTTTATCTGAAAGGCTCATCTGAACTCTTCCTCTTTAACTACTGTCCTGAAACCTCTCCAATTAGCTGCAGAAGTCTTGAAGACTTGAAGAAAATTGTGGACAGAGATAAGGCACCTGAGGGCTCTCTGCCTTTTAATGAGCCCCGTGGTGGTTTTAGTGCTGAGTGTGTGGATGTGCAAGGCTGAGAGGACCTTGCTCAAACTGCTCAAAGAGTCAGAGTCAGCAGCAAACATTGAAGTTTCTTGGAGTATTACTGATCCCCCCTGATGGCCATTACCAACAGAGGCTCGCCATGGACTCGTTAGAGCAGGAAATTGCAGGCAGTGATGCCAGTCAAAGGCAACGTGCTGGTGGCTCTGATGCAGTGTAAAGCCTTGGTGTGTTTTATCAAGCCAAATGCCAAGCCCTGACCCCAGCCCCTCAGAAAAGAGATCCTGTCCATGGCATGAGTCTCAGGCCTCTTCCTGGGATGTGTTTCAGGGGGTGAGGCCAAGTGAGGGACAACAGTACTGCACCTCCTGTGCGAGGAGACAACGTGGCCTTGGTGCCACGAGGACAAGGTATCTCCTCGTAGGCCGTGGTGGCAGAGACATCAGCCACAGCCAGGGGCACAGAGACCTCTGTTCTGTCAGGGCCTTTCAGCCTTGCCAGTACCCTTGGCCACCTCCATGAGGGTCTGTCCTCCACTGTCCCAGGCCTGCGCCTCTTTCCCTGCGGGCTGTAGACACCCAACACACTTCCTCACCGTGTTCTCACCCCCTGGCATGTCCTTACCCTCACTGACAACTCCCCATCCCCACTGGCTGTTCCTTCAAACAGAAAATCATGGGCTAACCCAGAGTGACCTGTCGTGCCAAAGCACTACCCTTCAGGTGACTTCTCTTCCTCCTCATATCCATCTGGACATCCAAAACTGCGTTTTCCTGTAGTTTTCTTTTCTTGTGCTCCTTCCCACTACCAAAAAATCATGCAATCATCTCTGAAAGTACCCGTCAAGCTTTCTCACGATACTGCTACACTTCCCTGAGCCTCCATTTCACCAGGCCAATGAAGCCCCCCCTCCTCAGCCTTTCCACACATGGCCCCTAACCCCATCTTGGCAGACCTCCTATGGGCCCGCTCCACCCCCTCCCCACTCCTCCAGAGCAGGGAGCCCCACATGAGGACACACCATTCCAGATGTGGCCCCAGCAGTGCTGAGTCGGGGGGGTGGGGTGATAACTCCCACTGTCTGGGTGCCCACGCTCCTCCCAGTGCAGCCCAGTATGCACATGGCCATATTCACGGTTAGCACCACTGCCCCGTATGGCGTCCTTCGTAACGCCCAGGCCCTTCTCCTTAAGGTCGCTCCTCATCCCCTTCAGGTCCAAGCCTGCATTGATCTACAGGGTTTTTACCCCCTAATGCAGATGATCAGAAGATCAGAAGGAGAAGATCCCTTCTCCTTGGAAAACTTCTCGAGGTTTCTGTTGGCCAAATCCCTGAGTTTCTCAAGGTCCGCCTGGACTGATGCTCCACTGTGTCAGCTCTTGGTCTGTGCGTGCACGTGACTCACCTGACTGGTGGTGTCACTAGCAGCGTCACAGCACGGGGAATTGAAGTAAGGATATGAGAGATAATAAGGAGGAGATTCTATTTAAAGTAAATTGCATGCCAAGATAGGTATTAGAGTGGTGACCATTCCAGAAATGCCAAATCAGGGTACAAAACAAGCATGGACATGCTGGAGAGAGTCCAACAAAGGGTCGTGAAGATGATGAAGGGACTGGAGCATGTCTCCTATGAGAAGGGGTTGCGAGACCTGTGACTGTCCAGCCTGGAGAGACATGTCCATTTCTGGAAAGGGGGGATGGAAAGCCCTGCTGGGCATATCTGTCCCACTTGAATCCAGGTCCTTGTGCAAGGCTCAGGTGGTGGAGCTCGTCTGGTGCCCACATTTGTCTGAGGGATGGCTGGTCAGTGCCATTCCCAAGCAGGGAGTGAGAGATTTGGTGCCGGGACAAGTCCTGCCCAAGGCAGTTGCAGCTCACAGCTGTGGTGTCTCAAGTCACTGACCCATGGATGGGGTCTGTGAGAAATAAAAGCCCACAGATGTCAATCACCACAAGTAATGTGGCTGACATGATGCCAAGATGCCAATATGGAAATTTCCAGCCCATATAGTATGTTCAGGAGAAGAAATCCTGATCTTCCTCTGCATTGACCCTCACTAATCTTTCACATCGATCCACATGCCCTGCTTAAACTGACCCCTTCTCAACTTTCTGCAGCCTGCCAGATACTCCCCTTAGCCAAATCCTTGATTGTGTTCCTACCTGTCCTTTCCCATGTATATCACTTGGGATTTTCCACTAAGGTTACTGACTTTGGGAAGTGGCTGGTGATAGGAATGGCACGGTGCGTGGGAACTGGGGAGGGGGTGGGACACGACGGACAACAGAGCTTACACACACAGTATCGTACTGAAAGGATCCTACTTTTCCCACATATTCAGACTTCATCAGGAGTCACTCTGGATCAAGAGGAATTGGGGGAGGCTGACTCTTGTTCTGGAAGCAGAAACAGACGGAAAACTGGTAAAAGCAGGTATCTTGTTCTATTGTTACTTCTTACAGAAATCTTCTGTTTGGCTACACTCCTGGAGTCTCCCAAATCAGCCACACAAGACCTGAAGAATTCAGGAGAATTATGCAGGGAGCCTTGGATTGTTAGGGCATTTTGCATGATAATGAGCTCTCTGGTGCCAAGTTCCTGAACTGCAGATACTGAGAGAATGAACCAGCTTATATTGGGCTAAAAAGACAATTTTTTTTTTTTGGGGGGGGGGGGGGGTGTGGAGGACAGGGGGGATAGGGCAGGGGGGGACAGGAACAAAGGTGGCTTCTGTGAAAAGATGTCAGAAGCTGCCCCCATATCCATCAGAGCCAGTTCCAGCCGGCTCCAAGATGGACCCACAGCTGGCCAAACCTGAGCCCATCAATGACAGTGGTAGCACCTCTGTGATAACATCATTAAGCAAGGGGGGGGAAATGTTGTGCAATAGCAACTGGGGGATAAGAGTGAGAATATGTGAGAGGAACAACTCTGCAGCACCAAGGTCAGTGAAGAAGGAGGCGAAGGAGCTGCTCCAGGTGCCGGAGCAGAGATTCCCCTGCAGCCCATAGTGAAGACCATGGCGAGGCAGGTTGTTCCCCCACAGCCCCAAGAGGTCCACAGTGGAGCAGATACCCACCTGCAGCCCTTGGAAGACCCTATGCCAGACAAGATGAGTGTCCCCCAAATGAGACCGTGGCAACGTGAAGAGCCCGCACCAGAGCAGGCTCCTGTCAGGACCTGTGGACCCATGGAGAGAGAGGAGCCCATGCTGGAACAGTTTTGCTGACAGGACTTGTGACCCCATGGGGACCCATGCTGGAGCAGCCTGTGCCAGAAGGTCTACAGACCATGGGAAGGAGCCCCGCTGGAGAATTTCATTCAGGACTGTCTGCCATGGGTGGGATTGCACACTGAAGCAGAGGAAGAGTGTGAGGAGGAAGGAGCAGCAAAGACAACGTGTGATGAACTGACCACAATGCCCATTCCCCATCCCCCTGTGCTGCTAAGAGAAACAATTCCCAGGATCTCAGTTTTACGTACGAGGTACGCAATGCATGCACCCGAGGGGCATTTTACACAGCAGTTCTGTATGTTCCCAGCACAGCCCCTGTGAACTTTCTGGAAAGCTGACAGTGTGCATCCCGGCCGCAAAGGCTCAGGCTGAGGAGCCAGAGAGGAACGTGGCCAGAGGAGGATGAACGAGAGCTCCTAAAGTCTATCCAGAGGAACAGCACGGCCAAGGGACTGACAGGAGCCTTTCCACATCACCGCCAACTTCCTGAGTTTTCAGGCTGCCCCCTCCTCCCCCGGCGTGCATGTCCAGGCCCCTTACTGCACCGGAGATGAAAGCAGGGCTCCCAGGGACAGCCTTGCTTTTTGATACAGCCAACTCATTCTCAAACCAAGGGCAGGGGAGAAGCGGACCACAAAGATTCTTACGTGATGTACAGCCACTGGGGAAAGGAACCAAAAGCTTGTCTTCAGCATTTCCATGCTGCATAAGATAGCATTTTAGAAGGCCCTCAGAAACAATGTCTTTTAAAATTTTGGCTTGTAAGGCATCCACTACCATTATGAGTCTTTCACATGAACACTCTTACTGTAGAAGTTGCACAATTAATAGGGAAAGAGTTTACTTGCTCTTAGATTTTTTAATTTCCTCCTGATGCTTTAGTTTTTCGAAGAACAACTGAAAAAAATCCGAACTTTCTACATGTCTAGGAGCAACACAAACAGCACCTATGTCAGCACCTGCAGAGAGATTCCATTTCTTCTGTTATTGTTAGAAGTCACTTTCAAACATCAGAACTATGAGCAGACAATGAAAGTTCTACCTTGAGTGTGTACTCCAAGCCTGTAAGAACCAAAGGTAAATATTTTGACACCAACATTTGCTGCTGCTGAAGGGGGAAGATTCTGTGGGTAGAAGAGAAAGCGTTTACTTTAGAACAGAAGATACACATTGACCTGTGTGCAAGTTTAGGTAGCATGCAGGTTTCTTAGAAAGACTACAACAGCCTCCATAAACAGTGTCTTCTCACGCCCATACTGAGTTGTTAGTCTAACAGGTTGCTGCCGTTTTTCTGAAATGAGTGCCTGCAACTCAAAAAAAAAAAAAAAAAACAAACCAAAACCAAACCAAATAGATGAGTAATGTAGCAGTCCTTTCATTAATTTACACAAATTAAGGACTATTATTAGTCTTCCCCACAGCAGATGCACATAAAGGAACACAATCTCTGCAAAAGGCAAGTCTGGTGTCCTACTTTCAAACCAGACTGGGTGCTGCAGGCTGTTTGGGGAGAGATTAGTGCCCATTTCCCACCTAGCTCACCCCACAATACGATGTTTCAGCTGTGTTAGCTGCCAAAAGTCAACCCACAGAGCCACTTCACACATTTATTCAGTGCCCCAAAGACTTCAAGATTGTGAACTGTAGTATCTTTTATACCTTATTTCAATGGCAGTTGCTACAGCTCTACTCAATACTTAAGGAGAAAGTTAAAAGTTGAACTTTAGCATAAATCCTAGTAGTATGGCCTTTAAGAGAAATAAAAAGGCTTCAGCTGTTTTGGTAATAACATATAAAAAATCCTTACCTTGATGTCACCAAATTCTGAAATCCATTCTTGGAACAAGTTACTCAGTTTACCAAGAACCACCAGCTTGTAAAGGAAATTCATGTTAAGTTTTCCCTGAAAAACCCAAGAGGTTAACAAATTTTAGCCTTGTTATACTGGTGATTCAGTTCCTCCTGCTCTTCAAATACCCAAAATGGCTTCGTTGCTGCAACTGGCTTCTGAGTACGGATTCAATCTACATCCTTAGGAGGAGCCCAGATAATGGGAGAAGTGATTCCATAGTGCCTGTGAGGCTGCTTCTGCAGCCTAGAAATACTGAGGGAGAAATAAAATACTGAACACTTCACAAAAGGGAAAAAAAAAAAAAAAAAAAAAGAAAAAAGAGAACTCACTGGAAAACACCTTTCAGCTTACAGGTTTACCAAATCAACTTCTGCTTTTACGCGGCATTAATATAAACGAGAGAAAAAAAAAAAAAAAAGAAAAAAAAGTACTGCAAGTCCTGCTTATGATTTGTAGGTAACTTGACCTAACTTTGAAATCCAACTACTTTTTTAAAACACATTTGTGGATCTAAGGAAAGAATCAAGTAGCTACCATCTTAATACAACTTGTCTGCGTTGCTCTAGACAGTTAGAGCTGATCACCAGGAAATGAAAGGGTTTGAAATCCACTAAGGGTGATACTACACACAGCAGAAGTTTAGGACACATTTCTGTTTCATATCAGTTTTCATTTAAGGATATTCCCATCAGCTTCCCGCTAACATTAAACAAGACAATTTAACATTGGCTTCTTTTAGTTAATGGTATTTATGCATGTCTTAAATCTAAAGAAAAGACATCACTGCGGCTTGGTTTCTCCTTCCTTGCCTCCATGGACAGCAACTAATCCAGGAAAACCAAAATCTGTTCACCCATGTAAATTAAAACTGCACAGCCCAAACACCATTCAATTTTCATATTATTCCTTAATTAAAGGCACAAAGGGGAAGGTCTGGGGCTACTGAATTGCTGAGGTCCATTTTTGAAGCCCGTTGCTGTCATCACAGCAACCAAAAACTGTTCAAATAAGAATCCACTAGCCTGACTTATGAAACCGAAGTTTGAAGAAGAGCACAGCCCCAAGCAGCCCGGGGGAGCTGGCAGGGCTCCTGGCTGCAACTGGGGAGCAGGAGCCGCCCCGGGCGCGGGGAAGCAGCCCCGACCCCCCCGAGCTGGGATTTTCAGCGCCAACTCCCAGCGCTGCGCAGGCCCCCGCTGCCTCTTGCCCCAAGAACGAGGCCCCAGCCGAGCAGCTCGGGGCTGCCCCCCCAGCCGTCCCTCGGGGCGGCCAAATCAGCTCCTCGAGGGGCTTCGGCCGGGACCCCGGGCTGGGGCCTGGGGCGGGCAGGGAAAGGGGCGGGACGCCCCCGGCTCGCAGCCCCCCCGGGCTCGGGGCTCCCCCAGCCCTTGCCGGTGGCTCCCAGCCACCCCTCCGTTCTCCAGCCCCCCCCCCAGTCCCCCCAGCACCCACCGCCCCACTCCCCAGCCCCGGGGCCTCCCGCAGCCCCCCCCGCCCCACTCCTCGGCCCCCCGAGGGGCTCCGAGCCTTTCCCCAGCCCCACTCCCTGGCACCCCCGGGGCCCACCCCCCGCTCTCGGGCTCCCCGGGGGGCCACAGCTCCCCCCAGCCCCCCTCCCCAGATGCTCACAGCCCCCCCAAAGCACGGAGCCCCCCCCAGCCCCACTCCCCAGGCTCAGCATCTCCGCCCCCACCGCCCCCCACCGCTCCACCGCCAGGGGGCGGGCCCGCAGCACGTCCCGTCCCCGCCCCCTCAGCAGCCAATCAGCGTGCGGCTCCCCCGGCCGCCCTCCCGGGGCATGCTGGGAGTTGTAGTCCCGTCCCTGGGGTGCGCACATGCGCACGGCGCCCGGTGAGGGGGGCAGGGGTGCAAGGGGCCGCGTGCAACGGGGGTGGGTGTGCAGGGTCCTCGTGCAATGTGGGGGTGTCACCTCCCTTCCCCGTGTGATTTTACGCCCCGTGTCGCCGCTCGGGGCTCGCCGGGCAGTTCACCTCTGTGCTGAGCGGCACTGGGGGGGAAGTTCATTAGAGCACATGGATTTGTAGGATGGAAATGACGGATCAGCTCAGCTCAGAAAATCAAGGGGAGCTGGAGGGACCGGGGATATTCCTGGAAATCATAACCAAGAAAACTCCCCAAGCCAAATGAGAGTTTAAAAATCCAACGCTTTTCTTACAGTGCTGGGTGCGTGGGGGATCTTTCCTCCTAACATGCACAACCAGGGACAAAAGCACACTTATCATATGCATTAAAAAATAAACATACATATAATCTCTAATATTTGTATAATTTCATTCCTCTAATTTCTAATACAATTTATAAAATTTAAAGACTATGAAACTATCTCCACGCAAGCGTACTGAATTGGGGAAGGGTCTCGGGTGGTTGTTTTGAAGTACAGACCTTAACTCACTTTACCCACTGATGGTCACAGCTCACGGTTTGGGCTGCTGCTCAGCACGCAGACCTGCTGAGCTTGTCTACAAAGTGCACACAAAGGAGCCTGCTCCTTGTATCCTTTGTATACGAACGGAATTGTTCACGTCTCTGGTATCAACAGGTCTAGCTATAACCCTTACTATATGACTTTTTAATTTTCTGAAAAAATAGCAAGAATGCCCCCTATTTCCCTGATGAGGCCAGGAGAGGGAGTAGCAGGTTGTTTTCCCCAGAAAAATCAACACTCGGGATGGCAAGTGTTACATTCAGGTTTTCCAGCAGGCAAAAATGGCATCCTCTGTTCATTATTCTTTTTAAAAGACCATGGAGAGATTTTTTCTTTTTTTTTTTGGGACAGGAAAAACTGCACTTAAGAGCATCTGCCACAAGAAAGTTTCAGACAAGAACTATACACTTTGTAGAAAAATACAAATCTTACCTATTGATGAATGAAAAGATGTGCAGGTGTCTAATCAGGTTAATCTGTGTAAGCTCTGTGCTCACTGACCCTGCTGAAGGTACAACACAAACCCAGCTCACCTGCAGTCATTAACTGTGCAGATTCCGGCCAAAACATGGTATTACAGTCAAATAAAAATAGACCCTGTTCCTCTTCTGTTTACACAAAAAGTAGTGAGCAAAAGCCAAATGGGTGTTCCTCTAGATTGCCACCCAAATTTTGAGGCTTTTGTACCGCTGCTGATGGACAGCAAAGACTGTTTGCATGCTTCAGGTTCACGTGCAGGGAAACCTGAAACATGCCTTGAAATTTGTCAAGAATTCTGAGAAATTCACCACCTGATCTTAAGCCATTTAAATTCCTGTGTTAGGAAGCTGGTTTCTGTGGGGTCTCTAGACACTGATGAATGACACGGTCTTCGAGAAGGTGACTCAGAGGAGGAACTAAAAACACCCCAAAGACTAAAAACTTACTTGTGTATTTTCCATCTCTTCCAGGGGGTGATTATCTCAGCCTGAAAACCAGAAGGGAAAAAAGCCCACAAATGAAATCATAGAATGTATCAAGTAAGGTATTTCCAAGAGGGAGAGCAATAACATGGTAGAAGGCACTGGTCAGATACAGTTCATGGTTCTGCTCGCCCACATCTCAGACAGCGGAACCAGAATCACAGAATCCCAGGGTGGAAGGGACCTCGAGGATCAGCTGGTCCAACCTTCCTTGGCAAAGGCCGGCCTAGACAAGGTGGCCCAGCACCCTGTCCAGCTGAATCTTAAAAGTGTCCGCTGTTGGGGGATCCACCACTGCCCTGGGGAGATTATTCCAGCGGCTGATTGTTCTCGTGGTGAAACATGTTCCTCTTGTGTCCAACTGGAATGTCCCCAGCAGTAACTCGTGCCCACTCGCCCTTGGCTTTTCCACGGGACTCCTTGTAACAAGGGAGTCTCCCTCTTCTTTGCAGCCCCCCTTGAGATGCTGGAAGCAGAAGAGCTGCCCAGGCTGGCACCAGAGGATCTGTCTCTGCTGAGCTCAGGGACTGCCGGCGGGACTGACAAGCTGAGAGCGGTGTCTGTGGGGCCAGTCACTGCCGAGAGCAGCGCCAGTCCCAGTCCCTCACCCTCACCCTGAGAATCAGCGCTGGCTAACGGGTGCGGGGTTTGGATCCCAGTCCACACTCCCGGGTTCTGCTTCTCTCGCTCAGCCAAGAGACAAGTCCCTGCACCCCTGTGATCCCGGGAAATGGAGATGGGTGTGCTCTTCTTGGTACTCGGGAAGAAGTCACCCTGACTATTAACCAAGTAGCATCTGAAATCATAGCCACCTCCTCCTCTGAGAGGCAAAGGTGCCGATGGTATTTAATTGCACTGGTGTTTAATTAACATACAATAGTGTTATGACAATTGCAAAGTATCTTATTCAGCTGAAAAGGCACAAATGTTAAGCAAGCAGCATGGAATGACAACTGAAATTACAGTCTGGGGAGAAATCTCAGGTCAAATCTAGGAGAAAAATTTTTCCCTGACCAAATAAGGATGTTTGAAAACACTGAAGCCACACATATACAAAGTTAACCTACAGCTGTCAAAGAAGACCAAAAAATCCTGCTGTATTTTCCTGAAAAAAAAACAACTCTCTCTCATGAAAGAAAGATTACTGCACTAGAGAGTGAAAAAGAATTGGGCTGATCTCTGATTTCAGGGTTTGGACCATCAGATAAATTTCCTCTAACAGCACTCAGTTACGGTTACTCAGCTACCATACTTTGAAAGAGCTGCACGGGTATTTAGCCACATACCTCCCATTAAAGCTAAATCGTCTTAAATAAAAGAGTTGTTGTGTGTCTAACTACCCATGGAGCTCCTTGAGAAATTTTAAGAGACTACACTGACATTATATTCTCTCTTTTTCCGTGAAGCAGTGGAGGGTGTAATCACCCTTCTCAAGCAACATTGCTTGCAAACTAAATTTTCATGCATTGCAGTAGTGGCATTCGGTACTGGCAGAGGCCTTACCCATTTAAAAACCAGTCTTCACACTGCTACAGAGGTACTTGAGGTGGCTGCAGTTAAACTATGCAAATTTGATTACATATGCAGATTTTCACCAGCTGAGGATCTAGTCCATCATTTTTCAGTGACAAGATCTAGAAAACCAGCAACAGGAAGAACAGGAAACTAAGTGTTTTGTGAAGCCTGTCATTGAATATACTATTTGTGAACAGTCACACCGAACTCTTTGTGGTGCTTCATCACTCATTATTTAGTGTGATGTGACTTAGATCATATTGATATTTTTAAAATGTGTTTCACTCACTAAATTCCTTCACAAACATTCCAAAGCCCATTACATGTTACCTACAGGAGGGAGTATTCCAAAATAAACAAGGATCCCCTTACATCAAAA